CGAGATAAGAGGGTAACTGACCTCGAGGCTGAGCGTGATCTTGAGAAGGCCGAGCTTCGAAAGGCTCGTGATGAAATAGGCCTCGTGAAAGACGAGGTAGAAGAATTGAAGACAGAGCTCGAGAAGCTAAAGAAATCCCTCGAGGTCAGGGTGGCTGAAGCTCGGGGTGAAGCTGTTGAGGAGTTCAAGAACTCCGAGGATTTCAACAAGCTGAAAGGCGACTGTGCAATGGGCTCATATTTCCTTGGCCTTAAGGAGGCTCGAGCATTTCTTCGGTCGAAGCCTGATGCGAAACCCGAGGAGCTGAAGGCAATCCCGGAGATTGCTGGAGACCTCAAGCTTTCGGAGTCAGAAGAGGGTACCCTCGACAACGAAGGGATCGACCTTGATGATGACCTCGAGGATGGTCAGGAGAGCCCCGGGGTCTAGATGTAGTTTGTTTACTCGAGCAAAATTTGTAACCATCGCCAGCTAAATCCGGCATTTTTTGCATCACTTTTTATCGAGCACTTATTAATACAATCTCCATGTTCTATACTATTTTGCCCGAGCTTTTACTTTAGTTGATCTTTACTGCTTTTCGATATATTATGCTCTCGATGATAATATAACGACGAATATATTTTTAACCGACGATTCAAATAGTGATGTTTACGCCTTTATAATCGACGATCATGATTTACGAACATCTATCTATGGCCACGACATAAATAGATAACGAAAAATGTCTTTCGAATATTAATATTATTCTCGACGACATATCGACGACTACGTCATCGAATATTAATATCGATGGTATGCAAATAATATCGACGATAATTTTTGAGGAAACTCAATGTAATCCTCGTGTCCTTCCAATTCTTACTGTATCGAGGGTCATTCACCTTGCCTCAAAGCAATGCAAACTTGTTGAGGGCAAGGCTTATATTGCTTGTTGAGGACAAGACTTTGAGTGTTTGCTCGAGGGCAAGGCTTGTATTGCTTGCTCGAGGGTAAGGCTTGGAGTGCTTGCTCGAGGGCAAGGCTTGGAATGCTTATCGAGGACAAGGCTTTTATTGCTTGCTCGAGAGCAAGACTTGGAGTGCTTGCTCGAGGGCAAGGCTTGGAATGCTTGTCGAGGACAAGGCTTTTATTACTTGCTCGAGGGCAAGGCTTGGAGTGCTTGCTCGAGGGCAAGGCTTGTATTGCTTGCTCGAGGACAAGGCTTGTATTGCTTGCTCGAGGGCAAGGCTTTGAGTGCTTGCTCGAGGGCAAGGCTTGGAATGCTTGTCGAGGACAAGGCTTTGAGTGCTTGCTCGAGGGCAAGGCTTGGAATGCTTGTCGAGGACAAGGCTTTAGAGTGCTTGCTCGAGGGCAAGGCTTAGGTAATTCTTGGATGCAAAATTAACGACGGGGCTTGTTATACCTGAAGCTTGGATTTTTTTAATTCTTTGGACTGGACTTGGATTTTTATCGTATCCAAGCTGCCTACGTACCCAAACGGGATCAAGCCGAACGTAGTTCATTACAAAAGAGAATTGAAAACATTCATGGGCACGCAGACCCGCCAAACTAGAAATAAAATGCAAGGGCGCGCAGGCCCGCCAAACTAAAAATAAAATTCAGAAGAACTAGAAGAAAATCTCCGACATGACATCGGGAATGCTACTTGTAATATATTTTCAGATTATCGGCATTCCAAGGCCTTGGAAGAGGTCTACCCGAGGTATCCTTTAGGCTGTAAGACCCTCTTCTGATTTGCCGTATGACTTCGAATGGTCCTTCCCAAATTGGCCCGAGCTTTCCGGGAGCATGACCAGCAGCTTCGGCCTTCCTCAACACGAGGTCTCCAGTCCTGAATCTTCGAGATCTGACCCGGCTATTAAAATGCCTTGCCACTCTGCTTTGGTAAGAGGCTACTCTTAGTGCTGCTTGTTCACGAACCTCCTCGAGGAGATCCAAATGTTCTGTCGTACATTCCAGAGAATCGGGCATCATTCTCCTTAGGCTGGGAAGACTGATTTTCAACTAGGATGGTGGCCTCAACGCCAAATGCTAGCATGAAGGGGGTTTCTCCCATCGTAGTTTTATGCAAAGTTCTGTACGTCCAGAGTATTGAGGGGAGCTCCTCGGACCAAGAGCCTTTGGCATCCCCGAGTCTTGTCCGGAGGTCTTGCAAAATAATCCGATTTGTGACCTCGGCTAGACCATTGCTTTGAGGGTGTGAAACTGATGTGAGTCGATGGTCAATCCCTAGGTTGGTGCAGAAACTTCTGAATTGTACATTACCAAATTGTCGTCCATTATCAGTTATGAGGACCTTTGGTATCCCGAACCTACAGACAATAGATTTCCATACAAAAGCTCTAAGTTTAGGCTCCGAAATTATTGCCAAAGGTTCTGCTTCTGCCCACTTCGTGAAGTATTCTACTGCCACTGCCACGAATTTTAATTGTCCTCTTGCCACCGGAGAAGGCCCGAGGATATCAATTCCCCACTGCTCAAAAGGGGCCGAACATGTTAGGGTTGTGAGGTCCTCAGCTGGAGAATGGATGACATTGGCAAACCTCTGGCATTTGTCGCATTTTCTGACATATTCAGAGGCATCTTTCTTCATGGTGGGCCAGTAGTACCCATACCTTATAAGCTTGAATGCCAATGCCCGAGCTCCTTGATGATTCCCACATACACCTTCATGAACTTCAGCTAGAGCTCGGGATGATTCTGAGGGTTTAAGGCATCTTAGATATGGAACTGTGAAACTTCTTCGGAATAGTACTCCTCCAATCATGCAGTACCTAGATGCCCGAGATCTTATACTCCTCGACAGTCTGGGGTCCTCAGGTAAATTTCCATTACTTATGAACTCTGCAATTGGGTCCATCCATGACGGCTCATGAACAATGTCCATGACTCCAACTCCCTGAGTGATACTGGGCTCCATTACCAATTTCACGTGGACTGTCCTCTCTAGCCCATCGATTCCCATGAATGCCAGTCTAGATAATGCATCAGCTTTACCATTATCAGCCCGCGGAATTTTTAGGATTTCGCAACTCTTAAATTGTCGCTGGAGATCATGGACTTTTAGACAATACAAACTCATCTTCTCCTCCTTCCTTTCAAACGTACCTTCTATCTGGCCGACCACAAGCTGAGAATCGCTAAAAATTTTAAAATGCTCGAGCTCAAGATTTCGAGCAAGCTCAAGAGCGATAATGACGGCCTCATATTCGGCCTCGTTGTTGGTAGCTTCAAACTCAAACCTGAGTGCGCATTGAATATCCACGATTTTGTCAGGGCTCGTGATGATTACCCCGGCTCCCGAACCTGACGAGTTGGATGCTCCATCAACAAAGATGTTCCAAATGTTTGAAATATGATTGTCCGAGTTATCCCCTGGCCCCGAGGCCTTGGGGTGATTTCTGCAATAAAGTCAGCCAAGGCCTGCGCCTTGATAGATGGTCGGGATTTATACTCGATGTCAAATTCTCCCAGTTCAATTGCCCACTTTAGTAACCTACCGAAAACGTCGGGTTTTTGTAATATATGCTTAAGGGGTTGATTAGTGAGCACAACTATGGGGTGAGACTGAAGATATTGTCTGAGCTTTCGTGTTGCCACAACCAACGCAAGAGCAAGCTGTTCTACCAAAGTATATCTTGTCTCTGCATCGAGCAAGACTTTACTGACGTAGTATATGGGTTGCTGGGCCTTGTTAACTTCTTTCACTAGCACGCCGCTTACGGCATTCTGGGATACGGCCAAGTATAAATACAGAGTATCACTATGCTCAGGTTTAGTGAGGATAGGAGGAGACGCCAGCGTTTCCTTAAGTTCGTGAAAAGCCCTTTCACACTCCTCATCCCATTCAAAATTTTGGTTTTCCCTGAGGACTTTGAAGAAGGGGAAGCATTTGTCGGCTGCGCGGGACATAAACCTGTTGAGGGCTGCAACACGGCCTGTTAATTTCTGTACCTCCTTCTTGGTTTTAGGTGACTCCATTGATGCCAACGCCCGTATTTTGTCTGGGTTGGCTTCGATTCCCCTGTGAGTGATCATGAAACCCAAGAACTTTCCCGAGGCAACGCCAAATGCGCATTTTTTCAGATTTAGTTTCATTATGTACTTACGCAGCGTGGCGAACACCTCCTTGAGGTCACTTACATGGTTGCCCACTTGCTTGCTCTTTACAACCATGTCATCGACGTAGGCCTCAATATTTCTCCCGATCATTCCTGCAAAAACTTTATTGACAAGTCTTTGATATGTTGCTCCTGCATTCTTCAAACCAAACGGCATGACTTTATAGCAGTATATGGCAGAATCGGCCATGAATGATGTCTTCTCTTGATCTTCCTCGGCCATAAGAATTTGATGGTAACCCGAGAATGCATCCAAGAAGCTGTATAATTTGTGTCCCGACGTACTATCCACCAAATCGTCGATTCGAGGTAGGGGGTAGCTGTCTTTTGGGCATGCTTTATTGAGGTTTGTAAAATCAATGCAGACTCTCCACTTACCACAAGCCTTTTTTACCAGGACGACATTGGCGAGCCAGTCAGGATAATTGACCTCGCGGATGAACTGAGCCTTGATTAGTTTATTAATTTATTCCTTTATGACCTGTCGTCGTTCCAGTGCAAACTGCCTCTTTCTTTGCTTAACTGGATGAGTTCCGGGCTTAGTGTTGAGCATGTGTACTACAACCTCGGGGTCGATGCCAGGCATATCTTCCACCTTCCATGCGAAAACATCAATGTTGCGGGATAAGCAGTCAATAAGTTCGGTCATGAGGACCGTATTCAGATCTCGACCAACCGTGACTTTCTTCCCTTGCTCGAGCTCTATCTCCAATAACTCCTCCACTGGAGCGAGTCTCCCGTTGTTCTCGAACTCTTCCTCCTTTTCTGAGATTTGCATGATGTCTGTCTTTATTTCCCTGACGCAGGTGACATAGCATTGTCTGGCAGTAGCTTGGTTTCCGCGTACCACCCCGACACCATGACTGGTGGGAAACTTCATGGCGAGGTGGAAACAATAGCTTTTACCTTATTGAGCAATGGTCTACCCAAGATGGTGTTGTATGCCATGGAAGACCGAACAATCTGAAAAGATGTAATCACCGTTATCTGTTCTTTTCCCGAGCCTAAGGTAAGCGGAAGCTCGACCACTCCCTCCGGAACAATAATACCCCCCCCGAATCCTTGAAGGGGGGTTTTCACTGTCTTCAGTTGTTCGGGAGAGATTCCCATTTTTGTGAAGGCTTCATGTGACAATATGTTAGCAGCACTTCCGTTGTCGATTAAGATCCTCTTTACCTCGAAGTTTGCTACTATTGCAGAGATGACTAGGGCGTCATCATGAGGAAACGACACGCCCTCAAGATCCTTCATACCAAATGTTATGTCCTCGAGGTCACCATGATGTGCTTTCGTGGTTGTCATGTATTGCCGGGCATACTGCTTCCTCCCAGTGTTAGAATCTCCTCCTGATGCAATACCCCCAACAATGATGTTGATGATTCCAGCTGTGGGTTGACCATCCCGCTTTACTTCAGGGGCTCTGTCCCTACCACCATCATTCTTCGGGCGTTTGTCATTACCAATGTAGGAACCCAGAAGTCCCCTTTTAATAAGGGCTTCAATCTCCCGTTGCAGGGCTTACAGTTTTCAGTGGTATGTCCGTGATCCCGATGAAACTCACAGTATTTGCTCATGTCCCTGGACTGGGGGGGTGACCTCATTCTCGCAGGCCATTTGAGCTCCTTCATATCCTTGATTTCCATCAAAATGTTTGTTTTCGATGTGTTTAAACGTGTGAATGACGTCAGGGAAGCCTCCTGTCTCTGTTTACTCCGAGGTGGTTCTTGATGGGGGCTCGGGTCATGCTGTCTTTTATGCTCGACCCTGTCGTGGGATGGTCCAACCTTCCTCGGGTTCAGTGTTTCCTCCATGTTTATGTACTTCTCTCCTCGGGTAAGAAGCTCGGTCACTGTCCTTGGCGGAGTTTTGGATAGCGACATTTTGAAAGCCTCGCACTTTATGGCATATGTGAGGGTAGAAACTGCTGCAGTTATGTGTAGGTCGGGAATCTGTAGTCTTTCCTTGTTGAACCTGGTCATGAAGTCACGTAGGGTCTCATTTTGCCCTTGTCTAAGTTTCATGAGGGAAGCCGCTGTCCTCCTGATGCGTTTGCTGCTTGCGAAGAAGGCAGAGAACTTGTTCGCCAAATCCGAGAATGAGGCTATGGAGTTGGACTCTAAGGTTGAGAACTAATCCCTAACAGCATTCGTCAAAGTTTGCGGGAAGGCCTTGCACATCACATGATCTGGTGCAACCTGTAGATTCATGACGTCCGTGTATATGTTCAGATGATTGATTGGATCGGTGGTCCCATCATATTCTTTGATCCTAGGATACTTAAATCTGTCTGGTAGGGGGAATGTCAATATCTCGGAAATAAAGGGAGTGTTGGGACTGAATCTTGTCGTCCCTTTGTTGCCCTGAAGTAGGCCCGCCGTAATTCCTTCTTGAATAATCCTAGTGAGTTCCCCGGACTCCATGGTCACTGATCTCGAGGCCGAGGTCACATGTGGTATACTCAAGGCCCCTGCCCCGCCATTGTCAGGGACATGTTTTTGAGCTCGAGCTCGAGCATCAGCCATAAAACCCCCCTGGGGTGCTGGTGTGGGCGATAGATGCAAATTTCTTTAACTTAACAGCTGAGTCAGTGTGGCGACCTGTTGTCTGAGCTCTTCAAAAGCTCCAGCAGTGACGACTGCCGGCTGGGGCTCTGGCACTTCTGATGATTCCTCTTGAGGAACAGGGATATCCTCATGAGGGGGTTGGTTCGGAGCAGATGAGCTTGCTGGTAGAAGACCTGAACGTGTGTTTACCATGACTTTTGGTAGCGTTTCCCACAGACGGCGCCAATGATGCTACCAAAAATCGTACCTGAGTAATTCCGGGCTTGACGACTGGTGACGAGCACGAATGTGTTCTTCCGGTACCTGAAACAAAGGCGTCGAGGTGTGTCCTCGTCACCCCTCCGATGCTTAAGTTAAAATATGTGCGTGAGGCTATGGACTGAAAATTGTATAAAAAGAGTACCTGAATGATGAAGTGAAACCATGTATTTATAGTGTCAGGTGGTTTGAATCCTATTAGGTTTGAACAATTGGGGAATCTTCATCCCGTAGAATCCTATCGGAGGTGGATGTTTGACATGCATAACAAGTGTAGGATTGGTACAAGTTTAACAACAATAGACTCCTCTTACAACTAGAAGTCTTGTGGGGTACCAAGTGTTACACGTCACTGTTGTAGGAGGACGTGGTATCGTTGAGTTAAAAAAGCATGAGGACACGAATACCGAGGACTCCACTTCCCGACCTCATGGTATGATTAAGAGAGATCGAGGATGCACTCCAAGTCCTCAGGAATAAGACGACGAATATATTTTGCCCACAGGGTTTGGGGAATCATCGGGAATAGATGGTCAAGGTAAACAGATGGACCATATCAGTGGCTTAACCAAGCATTGTGTCCGACTCGTGTACTTTCACAATTTTTTTCCCAGCCATGGCACAAGATTTTTCTGTTTCCTCTAATAAGCATCTCCCCCCCCCCCCAGAGTGCACAAGTAGTTTCTAGTATCATTCGTTTTCTTGTTCTTTCATCGTTGGCTATTCTGTACTAAATTCTGCTTCTCGTGCATATTGATAGTAAAAACTAAACACTTCCTTGTGCAATTCAAATTCTTGCCCAACTTTGAGAAATTGACTGAGGAAAACTTGTGGAATAAACACATTATCAACACATTATGATTCTATTCCCATAAAAAATTTTAAAAAAAAAATTCATAAAATATTTAATCTGGGCAACAAATTAGTAAATAAAACACGAAGACAACAAATCTGTAAAATAATTAATTTGTATTTTAAAACATCGATTTTTTTTGCATTTCACATAAAAATCTGTGAAATAAATTAATATGTATCCATAGATATCGAAACAAATATATTAAGACAATGGTAAAATTTCAAAACAGATCAGAGAGATGCAAATTGAGTGAAAAGGAAAATGTGTCTATAAAAAATTAGAAGGGACGAATGATTAGAGTTTAAAAGGGATGGGTGGAGTATTAAAGGGGTGTGTGTAACAAGGGTGGAGGAGGATTTAAAAGGTGGATGGGGGATAAATTAAAGGGGGTTGGTGGGGATTAAATCGGAGTGGAGTGGGGCGGGGCATGGCGGGGCTAAAAAAGTCAAAAACATAATTAAAAAACGCTAATCTCATGTCCATCGTGGATCGAAGGTCACTTATAGCCTATAATATATACTTTGAATAGAATTATCTCTCGTTTGATAGTAATTTTTTATTCAAAAAAATCAAAATTTTTTATTGTTATTTCACTATTTCAATCGTTATTTTTAATTTCTTCACTCACAGATGAGACCCACTTTTTTTTCTGACGGTTAAAAAATCAATTCTCATAATCACGACTTATGAAAATTATTTATGTCCTTTGTTAGTTGAAAATACATTTTCTTTTAATTTTTAATTCAACTATTATCCATCAGTAATATCAATTGTAGAACCCTGCTCCCTGTCCCGGGTCAGGGACAGGGGCGCCACGTGGCGCCCCCCTATTGGGGGGGCGC